GCGGCGCCTGCCCGCGCCACCGAATCGCGGTGCGCATTGTGTACTTAGGTCGAGTCGCGCGCTGTCTGCTCCGCGATTTTGACCGTGAAATCGGGATCGGGCGCCTCCTTGTTGCGCCGCCGCCGCCGCCGTTTCGACGGCTCAAAAATCCGGTTAACGACTTCCGGCCCTTGCGCGCTTTGGTTAATTGATCGACCCGACGAGATTTCATCCGCGGTTTGCGACTCGGGATTCAAGATCCAACGCCCGGGTCATTGCACTCCCTTTCGTGGCACTGAAATAATTTCACGTCCAAGGAAAGCGCTCAGCCCGATAATTAAGGTTAGAGTCCCTTTACAGAGAGAGTAAGGACCAGTTTCCGTAATTCACAGGCGCCAAATTCGCCTAAAAAATCGGTCATGAAGGCTCCGCGCCAACGTGACCCCTAAAAATTGCCCCCCCCCCTTTCAAAAAATCCTAATTTTTCTCTTGAGTGAGTTTTTGAAATTTTGACGCACGGGCACCGGATTCTAACTTTTCACTAAACGCACCCTGATATATGGGCAAAAGTCAACTTGGCCCCTAAAAAAACTTCAGTGGTCCCTAAAAATCGAGCTTTATTGGCCACATGGCTCCTGGAACTCAAAGGTGAGTGTCGGACACTGGTTAGGATAACGCGGCTCATGGATGTCACAAACGGGAATAAAGATTACACAAATCGGACGTTTTTTGTAATCTTTGATCGACCTATTCCCGAATTGCACACTGGTCTATTGTCGAGCATGGCCTGAATTTACACTTTTTACGTCCACTGAATCGGCTAAAAGCTCAATACTTTGTTTCCTTTCAATCATGAGTAGCCAAGAACCTAATGATTTTGTACGTTGATTGATTACCTAAATAATACCTAATTTTTCAATTTTTTTCAAATTTAAATGGTTCTCTGTGCGAAATAAAAACAATTTGCAAGAGGATTATGCAAACATGAAAGACTTTAAATCATAGAAAATTCTTCCATGACCATTGACCACTACTGCTCGCCCCTCCCCAAAATAAAAAATATACCGACCCCACATTCTTTCTGGACTTTATTTGATTAAAATTGTGGTTCAAATATACCAACACATTTTCACAAAGCCCCGACTGCTTAGTATACACGCTCTGAAGACGATATGATTTTGATGTTTACGCAATGGATCGACTACTAACTTCCCCCCAATACAGCCCTTGAGGTACTCCTATTTCAGTATGTATTCTTAATCGTCTTCGGAATTGAGTTCCGCGTGTCAAAAATACAGAGGCCGTCTTCAGAGAAATTTAGCGCGCGAAGAAAAAAAATTAGCTATCATCCTGGTGACGCAGCATCAAATAAGAAAAAAAAGATGCAACCTTGAACTGATTTTGTTATAGGTCAACAGCTATACGTGGAGGATTTATAATTTTGCCCCAGCGCGAGCCATCTGCGCGTGAGATTTAATTCAATTCGACTGCGATGCTGAATATTATTATTACATGCAGGTTAACACACATGCTTTAAAACTTGACGAGTCCATAGATTAAATCATCGGCGAAATCAGATTCCGAACCCCGCCACACAACCCACCCCTGTCTGTTGCCGAGTTTTCACTGTTCACACATAGTGGTCACGAACAACGACGGTTCGTTCTTGGAGGACACGGTTTGTCGGCATGCGTCAGGGAAAAAAGGAAATTGAAATTCTCGAAACTTTGCGTACCTAGTTGAAATAAGAAAAACAAAAAAACCAACGCAAAAAAATCGAGCGGTTATTCTGTCGGTGTTTGACATAGTACCGCGCCACTCTTCCGCGCTTCACCTTAATTTTAGGTTCCTTGGGTTCAGTTAAAAAAAAGAAAAAAGAAAAAAAGAAAAAAAAAACAGTAACTGTTCTAAAATTATACGAAATTCAAAATTTGGGGGCTCTTCACCTCTGTCCTTCCTAGGGTCCAAGATCTTTGAGGTCTACATTTAAATCGAGTCCATCCATACAGGATAGTACTGAATCCCCAGAAATGTCACGCTTTAATCCGGAAGTATACGCGATCCTGATGATTTTTACAATTTATTGTCCCCACAGCGAGCACGTCGTGAAATATATACCGATGGAAAGCTAAAAAGTATGCCTTTTCAGTTCAAACACATGCTGTATGCCTAAAATTCCTTTGAAGTAGAGCATTTTAATATTTAAAAAATAAAAAAAAAGTTTCTTTTTCGAAAAATGTCCTCCTACATTAAAAAATTCCGACATTTCTGGCGGTTTCGCCCTCGTTATGTTGGGAGTTCTAAGCTATTACGCACAAATGTCATTTTTCAAAACTCAAAGTAAATATGACTGATTTATTCAGCTCTATCCAGAAGTCTAAAATCGCATCTGAGAAGGCGCTGAGAAACTCCGAGATTGCAGAGGCGGATCCAGCAATTCAGAAACACCGGATTTCCTCCATTTAAACCTATGCTAAATAATCGATTCTTGTCGGAGCACCTGGCCCCTCCAAGAATCGATACATGTCCATAAGTTTAAACGGAGAAAAACAATGTTGCCAAGTTGCCAGTTTGTTGGATCCGCCCATGCGAGACTGGAGATTCATGATCCACGCAAAAAAATAAGATCTGAGTAAGAAATCGAGAAAAGAGTCAAGCTCCTCAGACGAGGAAAGTTGATCTCGCTTATTGGTCGCCTTCGACAAGCACGCCAGGCCATTTCGCTCACCTCGAATTTTCCTTGGTTTCGACGATTTTTTGTTCGCTTTTTGACGCGAAGCGTTGAATTCGCGAGAGAGGTATATATAAACACGCTGTGCTTACGTGTGACTTGTACGTGCTGTTCTGCCGTGCTAGAGAAAAACGCCGTATGAGCCTTCAGGCGTTGCCAAATTTTTTCTGCCAAACCACGAAATTTTAGGAAAATTTTTGAATATTTTTCTGCCAATTTCTGAGATAATTTCGTTGGTAATTCGATCATAAGTATGTCTGAAAATTTCAAGGAAATATATTCATAATCTTCCTCAAAAATAAACATTTTATCGAAGGAAATTTGGCGACTCTCGAATGTTCATACGGCGTTCTTCCTTAGCACAGAAAAAAATGATAGAGCTCAAGTGCGATCGCGGTGAACGATTTCCGACAGCGGCACACAGTGGATCGAGTCAATGTAAGAGGTTGGACAAAATTTGGAACCTTTCAAAGCTCATAACTTTGTTCATACAAAACTTTGAGGTCTAAAAAGTGGTTCCATTGGTTTTCTAGTGTTTCCTCTCAAAGGCACCCCTTAAAATTTAAAATGTGACTAATTTAACATCCAAATTTACAGTTTTAGTTAAAGATTTCATGTCCGACCTCTCTGATTCACCCGATCCACCGTGTGGCAGCATCCACAGCATTAACACAGAAATACAAGAAGGTGTTTGTCTTTAAAGAATCATGGACAGAGGTCCTTGACGTAGTGGGTATGGTCCATTCTCGAAATTCCTTCATCATTTCTAGAAAACCTATGGTCAAAATTTCCGCATCATACACGCATGATTGCCATGGATTTTCTAGAAATGCGGGGAAAAAACAACTTAGCGCAGAGCCCAAACACTTTAGATGAAATAGCGCAAACTTTTTCATTTATTCCTCTAGTATTCGTGATTATACCACCTTATATCCTGTAATTATACTTACTTCATGATTTAAAAATGAGCTTACTTAGGACAGAAAAAGCTCATGGTTTTATCTTACATAATACAGAGTGTATTTTTGAAAATCTGTTACTTGCAATAGTCCAAACATGTACCTAGGTACTGCAATAATTTTTTCGCATTTAATGAAACTTGGTATTTACAGGAAAGCAACTGCCCCTAGGCACAATTACTCACTAATGGAAAAAAGAAAGGGGTAATGATACCACCTTCTGGAAAAGTGTCACTTTAAACATTTACTATACTTGAGGTATAGTGTACATAACTGCCCACATTAAAAAAAGTGGGAAAAAAAACAGCCATCACTCATAAATAATTACGGTAAATTATTATTGCTGACACCCAGTGATCGTACCTCGGTCAGAGAGAAATAAGAGGGCAGAACTGGTCCATCAACTTAGCTGTCAAAAATTATCTAAAGATATAAATAAGAGAAGTACTCACCGAAACTGCAAGGCCAATTTGTTCTCTAGGTAACGAATCATGGAATTCAGAAACGTTGCCGGAAGTGCGACACCTAGCCACTTAAGTAACATAATAGAAAAATTTCTAATATCACGTTGCACTATAAACTTGACCATTTTGCCTTCCATTGTAGCCACGTAAATTGACATGAAAGTTCTGGTTATGAGGGTAAGTGTATGGATCGCGAGCAGGGCACCCTCTGTTGACCAGGCCCCTGGAATCATAATTTTCACTAACTTTTGCAACTGCAGCAAAAATTCTTTATTTACTCCAGGTACACTGCCTTGCTCTTTTATCTTGACAGGTGCTTTGGGTACCCCGTTTTTTTTACCATTCGGCAATTCTGACACATTACCATTCGGTACAGCTAGTTTGTTGTTGTTATTATTCATCCTTCGCTCCTCGTCCGAATCACTGCACCCTGACAGCTCCCCATTTGAATTGATCCGATACACTTTTTTTGACTTTTTTGTATTTGTTCTGGAGCAGGCTTTTTGCAAGTAGGGGTACCCTATTTTACAACCGTACAAGAGGATTGCCAGCCCAAGGACACCTTGGCTCAGCTTTTCTTTAGGGATGCTGTACTTTTGGATGGTATCATCAACATATTTTGATACTACAGATGGCATTTTGGAGGTTAGACGGTAAACACAACACTAATTGATGAGAAAGACAGAACACAAACGGAAAGAGATTCGCACGAAAACACTTGGGACAGCGTAGGAAGGTAATCACACAAAACAAAACACGCGTGAATAAACTAGGTGTTTGTGAAATTCATTGTAAACACGGGGTGAGCTAGCTCAACAGCTGACTAATGTAAACAGCGACATCAGGTCTGTTGTATCCATGGGCGAAGCTGGCGCTAACGCGACCGCTGGCAGCTGACTGACGGATAAAAAGCGAGGAGCAGTGCGGTGAGCTGGAACGACCGGCCCTCTTGAACTTGAGAGAAGCCGCGCAGCTTCTCGCGCAGTGTTGCCAACTCAGCGCTTAAAATCAGTTTACTGCTTAAAGGTCGTAATTGACGTTTCTGAAAAAAATCAAGTGTCGTGTTCATTTCCTTGATTTTTGATGGGTATTTATGTCATATTTTTCATCTTGGAAATTGTAATGCGATCAATTTTTCGATAGAAACAGTTCAAAATTAATTGCTCCTGAGAGGACTTTATTTTCCAAAATTTTCCATGCTCGAGGGATTCATTTAGCTGCAAAGGGAGGGGGGGGGAAATCAAGGGACTCACTCGAATGAATCCCTCGAACATGCCTTTGGAGTTGGAGGAGTGTCACGAATTCCTCTTGGTGAAGTATTCTGATTTTCTACCTCACTAAGGCCAACCTCCTGACCCGCGCGACAAAACATAATGCTGCAATATTTTCGCAATGTTCCGTGACAATATTGTCGCAACATTGTTGAAAAAACACTCTTTAAATATTTGTTCAATATTTTAAAAACATTTTTTGACAAAATTTTTAGAATGTTTTTGCAAAAATATTGTTTGAATATCTTAGCAGTGTTTACAAAATATTTAATTTACGATATTGTTAAAATATTTTAATGTGTATATTAAAAAAATGTTTGAAAATATTTTAATATATATGTTGCTGCAACATTTAACAAAAAATATTTTAAAAATTATTTTCGAAATATTTGTTTCATATTATGTTAAAAATATTTTATATATATTTTTGTAATATTTAAAAATTAATATTTTGAAATATAAACTCGATCCATTTTACCATTGAAATTGTTGAAAACAATCAAAAATCGTATACTAGGTTTGCATGCTTATCACCATTTTTCTGGAGAAGGAATTTTGAATCTCCCTCCACTAGGGATAGAACCTCTCGTCACGTTTTTTTTTTTTTTTTTTTTTTTTTTTTTTTTTTTTTTTTTTTTTAGTTTTCCCCTGCATAATTTCATTTCACGTGCTGCCGTTGTCAATATTTGCCATATAATCTTGGTATAAAATAGATCCTCCTGACGCCGCCGAGAGTCAGAATGAAAATTAATAACATAGAATGATGATGATACATGGTACGGTTAGAGCCTAGTTCCCCCTGCCTGCATAGGGGTCAAGCAAGTGAGCTAGATAGATAAGCGTAGCGTCAAAAGGAACCCAAGGTCACCCCGACGTTAAACTCAGATTCGTCGCTGTCCCATTCGAGTGCAAATTCATCTGAAAAGTCGCGACACCGCCTAGGCCTGGGCCTTGGCTCCGGATCGAGAGGGAATATTTTATATTTTATAAAATTTATTCGCGAAAATTTAATGAAATTCCACGAAACCAGGTTTCTATCTCCCTTACTTTATGGGCCAGACAAAGCCGAAGACTATGCGGGGAAAAATAGGGTATCGACCCCAGGAAATCCTTTTACGGCAGCGAACCCCCCTTCCCCGGCCCCCACAGAAAGTATCTAAAAGAGGCGTCGTGATCTTGAGAGATGAGGTCCCGTCAAAATTTTGAAATGGAGATGTTGTATGTGTGAGGAATTTGCGATTTGACTATTGATTCTGATGTAAAAGTTCGCGAGAAACACGATGGTGCCACTGGTTTCCTCTGAAATCAACTCCCAAGCTCAAAAAGAAGCACCATTACGAATAAGACAAACGGAAACAAACACAACATGGAAATAAAGCGAGGGAAAGGATGCGCGTTAACGACGGCGCAGAGATACAACTATTCGTACTTGATGGACGTCCGTGTTGCATCTGAAAAATTGAAGGCGCGATGCCCGAAGCGTGAGTTCTCAACGCCCTGCTATATGCTGCCAATGAGGTGTCGCTCAGATTCGGGAGAAAAGTTAAAAAAGAGGCCCGAACACATCTCTCCTTCCTTCGGCTGTGTTATTCACGTAGTGCTTGAAGCACCATTACGAATAAGACAAACGGAAAAAAACGCAATATGGAAATAAAGCGAGGAAAAAGATGCGCGTTAACGACGGCGCAGAGATACAACTATTCGTACTTGATGGACGTCCGTGCTGCATCTGAAAAATTGAAGGCGCGATGACGCGAAGCGTGAGTTCTCAATGCCCTGCTATATGCTGCCGATGAGGTGTCGCTCAGATTCGGGAGAAAAGTTAAAAAAGAGGCCCGAATGCGTCTTTTGTGTCGTCGGCTGTGTTGATACTCGTTCTTTCTTCTTTTTTCAGGTTCATGTATGATTCTTTTTTAGGATGGATTTTTAGACCCACGTCTTAAGCTCGTGTAAACCGCAGCACTGACACGGTTCTTATGGAAATAATGGTGCTTGGATGCGTCTAGTGGCTTTAATTTTTTTTTGTTTTCTTTAATTTCAGAAGTCTATCGGTCACTTCAATAGTTCAATTTTACAATTTTTACTCTGTACGATTAATAAATCTTGAACCTGAAAGTAGCGTAAACTTGTGCTGCTTTGCCAAAATTTTCTGAACCCCGCTCCACGAAGGGGATGCCCCATCAGGAAATATCACATTACGCCCCTTTAACCAGCTAAGGGTCTACGCCCTCAGATGCGAGCCAGTCCGACCCTGTGCTTTTCTAAGTACCTAATCAATCTCGTCCATATTTTATATTCCCAATTCTTGAAGCCCCCCCC